AGAAAGAATAAACTAGTTTTAATCAAGAAGGGACTTGTATCGCTGAAATCACTCGGAAAGAATTTATACCGGAAATTAACAAGCGAGCAGATATGTAACAATACATTATGTTCATGACATAGTTCTAGTTTTTGGTTTAATTAAGAGTACACTAAATACGGAAAAATGACATCTCTTTTTATTTATTTTTTTTAAAGTAAAAGTGTATGACATTTACAAAATTAGACCTTTCCTTCAATTAAGAAAATATGTGTGATTTGTATTACTGGAAAATGGCAAATGGCACATCCTTTTATGTTTTAAAACAAAATACATATCAGAAAGTGATATTCATTATTTTTCTCCTATTTAGGAAACTTCTATGTTGTTGAGCAACCTCTAAGTATTGTTTGATTTAATTACAATTTTATCTCTGAAGAGAGAACAAATGTATTGGTAAGACTTGTAACATTTAAAATTTTGGTTTTCACAACCATCATATTGTACACGTCATGACATTTTAGAGTTACATTCAACATTTCATTAACTTTATTGATAAAGCTAGAAAGCCAAAAAATTACAATATAGGACACGATTTGCTTTTGCATGTTATTATTTTTTGTCCTTTATTGCATTCTTTAATTAAATAAAAAAATTAGTGTAGTAGTACCATTAGTATAAAAAGTAGGCTTAATTTTCATTGATAGTCGACAGCAAAAACAAATTTATTGTTTTTTACATGTATTCTTTATTTATCATTATAAAAGTAACTAAAATGGAAAAATTAGAAACTTATTAGATAAAATAAAGAAAGATAGTAATAAGTTTTCCTCACAAGGTATGCTTGTGAGTAGCTTGTACATTAACCAAGTGGTTTACAATGTGTGTGGTGGGATTATTAGCTAAACACAGTTGTAAGGTCAATAAAGTAATAAAATTGAGTATAAACAGATGTAAACTGTTATGAGCCTGAAGCTATTGAGGATAAACAGCTATATTTCTTGATATAATTTGCAGTCATTCTTGAAAGAACAAAGTGCATTTAGTTTTATTTTGTATTTTTTATGGTGGTTAAAACTTATATAATATTGAATGTTGGATTATTAGATACATTTTGATGCCAGGTTTATTTGTATACAATGATAATAAAGTACTTTAATTAAATTTTGAATGTAACTCAGTAAAACCACGTGACATGCACAGAAAAGGATGCCAGTACTGAAAGAGTTAAAATGGACCAATAGTGATTGGTTTCTCTGAACTGAGTCATGTGGTTGAACAATTTATATTATGTTCTAACCACCTTAGTGATAATCTTATTCTTACTGATTAAAAAATCATTAAATAGTGGATGTGATTTATACTTCATGAGAATGAATTAGTTCAACAGAACATATAAATATTATTGAGTGTCTTCACTCTGTGGATTGAAAAACGTGAAAATTTTCTCTCATGAGTAAGTGTTGTTTAGTATAAAGTATAAACATCTGTCATGTGATTTTGATGCCTTTATGAATTTATTTCATTGTCCACTTGCTTTATTATGATTATACTAAAAATCCAGTAATTAGTGATATTACTAGTTTCCAAATGCTCTAAATTATCCCATTCACTTTCACTTTCTTTTATAGAAAGAAGAAAAAGAAATGATATTTGCTCAGTCTTACCTGATGAGAGTTCAAGAAGCACTGAAAGATGAAGAGAAAACTTATATTAAATTTCTGGAAGTTCTCTGTGAATATGAAAATTGCAATAATTCACCTTTGCAAGTAAGTAGTAAAGGCAACCTGCATCAGAGAATTATCTTGTCTCATCCTGAGTAAACAAAGTTCATTTACGTGTGTAAGAATTTATCTGCCCCCCAGTGGTACAGTGGTATGTCTGCAGACTTACAATGCTAGAAACCGGGTTTCGATACCTGTAGTGGGCAGAGCACAGATAGCCCATTGTGTAGCTTTGTGCTTAATTCCAAACAAGCAAACAATAAGAATTTATCTAGAGATACTTGTTTGAGAAGTTTTTCTTTTTTGAAAGTAACAGTTTGGAGTTATATTCTATAGAGAGTGAAGAATTAAAATTGTCTATACTTGATTTCATTTTAAAATGAGATTGTGATCCTATGCATTTTTTCAATCAGTACGCTTTATTCTGTTAATCCTGACATCTAAATTATTTTATTGTTGAACTGTTCTTCTTCTATTATGCTAATATTATTTGATATGTTATTACGTGAAATTCTTAGCCACATTTTTACTCTTCAGTATTTCTCATGATTTAAAAATATTTTTTAAAATAACTAAACACCAATTAAAGAATGTAAACTTTTAAAGCTGTATCTTTTTTGACTTGTAGTTTTCTGTTATCATTTTTCTATTTTTAAAATAGGTTGATTGCACTAAATTTTGAAAATGTACAAGCTCGACCATTTTTCACTTATAAAAAAATACAAAATTTAAAGTCCCTTTGGCTCTTAGTGTCAGTGTTTTAAATCTAGACCCTTCCACGTCATTTAGTTTTTATAGCCATTGGATATTAGAGCCAAAGCATAAGATTGAAAATGAATGTTACATACTTAATGATATAAACAGTGAAGTGTACATGATCTGTGGTTATAGAAATACTAAAAAGATGAAATTTGTTGATCAATCTTTGTTTATTACGCTAAAGCAAAATTTTAGAGGAAAACAAATTAAAATATACTTGTACGGATAAAATATGGAAGTACACTATAACACAATTTTTGATATGTTGACTTAAGAGATGAAGCTTGTAGATCCTCACAAAATCGTAAAATGTAAGCCAACATTTGTATTAGTATATCTAGTGAAGGAGGTTGTAGTAGTACTCATCCAACTGCAGTTTCAATCCTATAAGTACTGTTATGTATTAGAATTTCAAATAGCCTGAAATTGAGTTAACTGATACTTTAAATTTAGTAGTTAAATTGTACTTTGGATTTAGCAGGTAAGTAAAAGTCGACATATAGTCAGTTTATGATATTTGACAACAAGATTGATATACACAGTTTTCTTTTTTTTAACACAAATGTTTTAATATACAAACAACAATACAATTTACAATAACAGTTATTACAAATAGTTATTACACACAAAAATTTATATACAAAAATTTTAGAAACTTACAAGCAATATAAAGTCTTCTTTCTAGTCTGGAGCTTCATTGATGTCTTATTGAGGGTTCACGATGAACGAGTTAATTACGAGTTGATGTATGTAAAATTCGATTAATTGGGAGCTAGTTAGCTTTGTCCTTCATTGTTTAACAAGTCACATGCTCCAAGTTTTCCATGATGAACTTATATAATGTTTTTGTAAAAGTACTTCAGTGGATGTGAATCCACTGAAGTTAAATGATTTGTAATATTTGAACTTTGTAAGTGCTACTGGTCAGATACCTAAAGTTTTCCGACTGATAAGCATTATAACAATCACAGTTATAGCTTCCAAAATTTATATCACACTGACTATAGCAAACTAATAATAGATACTCTTTTTTTTTGGCGCATCGCATTGGTTATATTTATAGGCGTGTGTAGAGTTTCTAGAAAATTCAGTTTATGTAACAATAAAAAGCTACACTAGCATTTATTTACACACATATATTGTTGATTCTTACACTCAAGAATCTTCTACACCTTTAGAAAATAGGTGGAAGTTTGCAATATATATTTAACTGTATAAGTTATGTACACTTGTAAATATAAATTTAATTCAAGAAAACATCGATATTAAAATAAATATATAATAATAAATTCGTCACAGTACAAATACATCTTCATTGTTGTTCCAAGTTACAAGAAATGTCACACTATAAGCAGACATTCTATGGGCTTTGAATGTAATAGACTTACATTACTCATACAGGTCTTGTGAAAAGATGCAATATTGATGTAGAAGACATTTTAAGATAGTGAAACAGCTAAGAAATTCACTTGTGGAGAAATAATATGATCTTATCTGTGCTGTTTTAGTATAGACCCACATTTATAAGCCCTTCTTTTACAGCAAGTGAGAAATGCCAAAAATCATGTCTTCATATGTGATAAAAAGTTCAACAAAAAATCCCAATCTGGACAAAAAGATTTTGTTTTACCTTTGGGATAACATTATAATAATTACATGATATAATACTTAACAAATTTTGGCCATGCCAAAGCAGTAGATATGTTTTGTAAATTTCATTGTGCTTTTGGAAGTGGGCCTGCCGCTGAAGAATCTCTTACAACTGTGAATAGATGGGACCAATATCAAATGGAAACTACATAACATCATTCATGACAAGCTTGAAATCTATGATCACCATCTGTTCAACTTTGTTAGCTGTAGGATTCATGTTATCCATGACACATTGAAGTATGGGAGTGTGGGGTAAAATTGGGGTGTGGAAAGATTATTGTCAAGTTTGTGCTGGTTTTTCAAAAACTTTTCAGTTGTAAGAAAAGATTATATGTCTGTGTTAGGTTGTACTGATTTTACTTTAACATTTGTAAGTGCAGATAGATTGAGAATATGAAAATAACACATAAAGCCCTTGATATGCAGCTCAACATTTTACAGTATGAGAAAGTCTCAGAGACTTCAAAAGAGATCAAGGAACCAAACAACCAATTGCATAAAACTGTTAAAGAGAAATGCAAATATCCAATGATGCCTGCTAATTGCTTTCTATAAGTATTTGGCAAATCAAATCACACATTTCTTAACCCACTACCAAACAGATAAAACTAAAACAAAAATGGAGAATAATTCCCATAGTAAAGAAATAAGTAGCTGAAAGGTGTTTATAGCAGTCTATGAAATGAACCAAAGCTAAATTATTGCAAAGTAATGTAAATGTAAAGTTGTAGTAAAGGCAGACTTAGCTGAATATGCAGAAACATCTTAGTGCATGTTCACAAAGTGAAAAGCATATGGTTTTGAATAAACTGAGCATGCATATTTTAGACCTAAATAAGGTGAGAAAGCCCATAGAAATTTTGTTTAGTGTAATGTTCAATTTGTTTAGGAAATTACATGCAGATTAAGTCCTGTTGGTGTGAAATACTTTTGAAATAAATAGAAACTAAAATTGAAATAGTAGCCAGTTGTCATGTGAGGACAATGACATTGTGCCATTATGTAGCATACTTCTTGCATTAAAAAGTTTCGCTAAGCAGGTAAGGTGATTCTGAATAGAAAAGCCAGTGTCCAATTCGGAATCCACATACAAAGACCTTTTTAACAATATAAATTTGTAGCATTTAATTGAGAAATTTGTGAGAAAAGTTCTGGACATACAAATACAAGTGTATTATTTATATAGATTTAAGCTATGTAGTCTTGTCCCAAGGATTAGAGGATTGCAGAATCCCATAAAAAAGATAAAGTAAGTGATTGACAGATTTTTGAATTTTATGTGGAGTGTAAAGTCTTCCTCATCGTAGTTTTGATAAGAAGCTCTTGGAAAAATCATCTATTAAAATTTGGCCAGAAAATTGACCTGGCTGAATCCAAGAATCATGACTTGTGGCAGAGATACTTGTATCCAGAAATGCAAAAAAAGTTCTCAGCACACTCATTGATGCCAACAGGTTTAAGCCTGATAACTGTGAGATGCACTTATCAATTTGAGAATTTCTGGACACTGGTATCATTGTCATCTGACTTGAAAGATTTTGATCCAGTTACTGAGAGGATTGACTCCCTGCAGTATATTGTGAAGGGCCGTAAAGATGTTACTGTTAATATCTTGTGGCCAAAATTACATGGTGAGAGGTTTTTCTAGTAAGAGATAGAAACTAAAAATATTAATGTGAATCAGGTGTTGCACAATATGTTATTGTATACCATATTCACTATGTGGAGGGGTTTGAATGTTGATATTTCGAAGGCTTGCAATTTTCTGCAAGTTGAGCAAGGCATATTTTGAAGAAAAAAGGGGAGTTGTGCCTTAAGAGGAAATATTTGGTACATGAAATTGAGTAGCTAAAATGGCAAATGGACCACATAAAGAATGGTTATGATACCCTTTTGGAGTCTTCAGATACATTTGCTTTAAAGGCTGATGCCACCAATTACTTGTACTAACTAATCCAACAATCTTGGAGAACTATCAGGGAAAAGAGGAAAGGGATTGTTGAGCAACTGTATGAGAAATTATACTTATCACAGAATACTGCAAAGATTGTAATTTCAGAAGGAAACTGTGGTGATAGCACCCAAAATTATTTGGGGAAATCCTGTCTCTCCAAATGCAGAAGAAAACTAGTCAAAATTTGAAGGATCTTGCAACTAAAAGAAAAACATCATACATGATCAAAGACAGCAAAAGAGCTTAAAATAACATTTAACATTTGCAAAGTTTATGAAGAGGAAGGAAGATTTGATGGTGGACATTAGAACACTTGTCACAATGGATATTTGTAATCTTTCCATTTTACAAGATCTCTCAAATAGCGAAATAGAGAAATAAGGTATTTTAGAGTGAAGAAAGAACAAGTATTTAGTGGATTTCAGTCATTTCTATTGTCAAATCATTAAAATGTAGTGAAAAAAATGAGGGGGGAGGGTTTCTGGCCCAGAGACAAAATACTAGTACTAGTAGGCTCAATCCAAAACTTCCTTACCTGCTTTGATGTTTACACTAATCCAAAATTGATATATGAAGGTCCTTTTAACTGGATTATTGACAGACAGCTAACTAATTATGAAGCCAAAGGTACTCATATCAGATATGCACAAACTTCTTAAAATACAATGAGGAAAATCTGCATAAAGGTATGCTTTAAATATTCTACCATCTGCCTTAACTCTCTCAACATGGGCACAGTCAATATGACCACATGACTTTTTTGTATTGTTTAAAGTCTTTATAGATTTAATACTTCTAACTTTTTATATACTGTGTGTATCTTTATAAAATTTAGCAGTTTTCGGTTAACACGTACATACAAAAATATACGTACAAAAAATCATATTTTTTAATGAAGTATTTTTAATAAACTAAAATAAAGATTTGTCTTTGAATATATTGAGTATTTGTTTTCAATAGTTCTTGTGCAAAGTAATTTTCATGTTAAGATTAAAATTACTTTTCTTCATCTCAAAATTCCTTTGTATAATCCCTAAAAGCTCCTAAATACATTTCAAATGTTTGTTTTCAGTAAAACTTTATACTTTATCTGTTATTTACTCTACCCTATTTCTATACAGGATCGGTCAATTTGACCAACATCATAACCACATACAAAAAAAATCTAAATAAATATACATCTATTTATATTTAAATTGTATTGTTTATTGCCCTTTGAACTGTGTCTAACTACTATTCATGCAATTATAAGTTGTAAATCACTTAGGAAACGTGCAGCTCATGTTACGCTATCAAATTACATTGCCCACAAGCTACTACGAGCTTCTCGCATGTGTGCCTCATGAAACATTTTTATTATATTATTTATTTTACCTAATTCAATCTTAACTAACCTAAAAAGATCCTTACTTTTAATTTTGATTACTTTATAATAATAGATAAAGAATAAACATGAAAAACAAAAAATAAAGTACTTGCCCAATCTTCTTTTTTCTTGTAATAAAATTTAATATATGTATTGATTTTTTTTACTTCCTCATTACATATATAATATAAGGGTTGGATCCCTAAAGAAACTGATTGTATAGTGTGCAAAGCATTGAGTATCTACATTTTTATAGTTATCTAATATTCGTGTATTATTGGGTGGTAGTTCCTGTTTTACCCTGTACTTAAGCTTTTCAAAGGAACACAAGATGTGCGTAAGAAAGCTAACTTCAAGGGGTAATGGTAATATCCTTTACACAAGAATTATGATGTTTTTTAGCTTATGTAAAACATAGAAAAACAAATTATCTTTTCAATACACCTGTGACCTTTGCAGTACGTTATTTAGTATTATATGAAAGGTTCAGGTGGAATATACCAAGCCATTTTTCTTGCAGACTAGCAAGAGATTAATAATAATAAAAATTACCAATGGGTCATTTTGAGTGGATTTTCTTGTTCTTGTAAGTCTAACATGCATGCTTTTTTATGAATTTTTATATGCAGCAATACTAAAAGTTTTAAAGTGTTGTTTGAACTGAATTTTTACTGTTTACTGAAATGTAATAAGCAGTCATGAGAGGTAATATTTAGCTGTTGGTATTTCTAAAAAGTAAGTGTAAAAACCACCTAAAAGAACTTTGCATGCATCATTAGGTTTTCAATTAGTCATTTTGGTTTATTTGTTTCAAGAATGGAACATTGGAAATATAAATCTGTGGAACTACTTGTTGCTGTAAGATATATCAGTTGAACCTGAAAATACCACACTAGGACATGCAAACTGATATACAGTGCAGATGATGAATGTTCACTGATTCTTTGAAGGAAACATTGGTTAGTGGGACCAATGTGGTCTTTTGAGCAAACAAGGACAGGTTTATTTTTAGACAGTTAGTGACATCATTAGTTTGGGAATTTTATCCTTATAAGAAAGAGGATGGCAAAATCTAAAGGTACTTCTAAATACGAATCTGAGAAAAGTGTATAGAAAGGCTACTCAGAAGTTGAGCAAGTTGTTTTTTTAAATGAGTGTAATATTTCCATTAAGAAGTAAAAGACAACAAGTTGACATTCTTTCCTCAGCTTCTGATGAAAGGATCTTGTATATAAAAAAAAAGATATTGCCATCTAGACTATATGCTGAACTATTAATGTCCAAGGTTTTCAGTTAGCTTATCATAATAGCTCTTCAGGTTCATTTAAATGAAAAAAATAGAGTAAATTCTTGTGGCATGTCTGTACTATACACCTGGAAAAATTTAAGCACCCCCGTGTTTTTTTCAAGTGATTCAGATTCAACGTTCTTGTGACTGATTATAA